CCTGAAAACTTGACTAAATGCACATAACAGTTTTGGCAAGCGCTGACGCTATGTTCAGCAATGGACGTCCTGTGGCTGATATGATGATGATGATACAAGAAACACAACTTTAGGTCAAAAGTCAAACAAGTTTTACGAATTGGCTGGCTCGACCGGAGTGATATGGCCACCACGGCCGAGCATAAAACTGACGTGAAACAACACTTGCGATTTATTTCATCGTGTAAGTCAGGTTATCGGAGGCTCAATTACCCTTTTACCCTTCCCAAATATCCCCAATCCCTGAATCCCCAACAATCCTCAAATTCTTAAGCCACAAAAGGCCGGTATTGCACTTGTAACGCTTTTGGTGTTCCAGGTGTCCATGGGCGACGCCAATTGCTTACCATCAGACGATCTGTCTGCGTTTACCGGCTTATGCCATAAAAAAAAACAAGAACAAAAACAAAAATTGTACAGAATCTAAACATAAATCCTCAAAACCCCTATCTCATCTGGTGTGTCTATGTCCGGCGCCGGTTGCTTACCATCAGGTGATTCATCAGTTTGACCCATCCCATAAAAAAGTAACGGTCTCTAGACAAATGATATTTAAACACTACTCGAATAAGTGCAAACAAATATCAATGCACTGATGGGATTAACACTGACATTCGACAAATTAATGTCAAACCTACGCATTGACTTTTCTATCTTGAAGCCTAGACTAGCATTTAAATGCCACTTATCTAGGACATTGTATTTACATTAAAAGTACCTTTAACCGACGAGCATGCATGTAAAACTGATAACTGTTGATGAAGCGAAAGAGGTATGTAAGAATTGTAGCAATTGGCCTTCCATAATCTCTGCCTACCCCCATGGGGACAGGTGTGAAGTTATGTATGTATATTGTCCAGGAGATTTAGTTATCATAATCATCATCAACGCACTGTTAGAGTGGACTAGAGGAAGAATGGACTATAGGCCTCTTATATTTAGAGTCTATTTTGATTATCTCAACGGCTTGCAGGAGGATTATGGATAGCAGTTTAAAGGGTTAAGGTTTTTTTTTATATTTGATACCTACGTTTGTCCTCTATCTCGCCTGATAGTAAGTGATGATGCGGCCTACGATGGAGGACGTCGAATCCTTAAGCAACCTATTCACTCGGGCCTTGAAGACACCCAGGTTCCCAGACCCTTCAGGAAATACAGACTCTGGCAAAGAAGAGGTTTATCAGAGAGCGCTAGTGCCCAGCTTCTGTTAAATGTTTAGTCTCTTAGTTGGCTTTTACGACGTGCGGCATCCTCAGTAGTCCATGATAAATGAATTCTTCTCTGCCGTGGCCTTCACGTGGTTTACCTCTTATCCTAAAAACTGGAGCAGGAGTAGCAACAGTGTGGTTTTTAGTCAGTAATAGGTAAGAACCTTACACCTCCTCTAAAAGTAAGTAATTTGATGAAATTCCTCCTTAAAAGAAATCTTAATAATGGACAAAATTTTCGACATTCCCGATAATAATTTTCATTCATTTCCCTGCTTCCACTTTCCTATGGTTGACTGTCAGAGAATGTCAGTCCGCCATTCATTGTTATGTTTGTAAAGAAGAAATATATAAATAAACTAGCGGACCCGACAGACGTTGTCCTGCATATCCACTTGAATGTATAAACAAAAATCCATTTAAATTAGTTCAGCCGTTTAGGATGAATAACCTAGACAACGACTGCAGCGCCATCTGCCGGGCTGATTTGTGAATCTAAACCATCCAGGGCGCCACTCAAACGCGTACAGTAAAATTCATTGTAATCGGTCAAGCCGTTTAGGAGGAGTTCAATGACATACACATGTACAGCAGAATTATATATATAAAGTAGATAAATAATTTCTATCAGAAATCCCCTATAATAATAGTAAAGTTCATCTCTAGTTCCACAGAGTAGACGTCGAGAACGTCGATATTGAACCAATGCTATCAAACTTACAGCTAGGAGCATGAAATCCGCAGGGAAATCAAACGATGTAGAATACCATTATTGTCATAACGCAAGTGGATTACTTAATATTTTAGTTATTTACTTATCGACGATATGGTAGTCGTATAATTTATTAATTTACTTAAGTAGGTAGTTAAACAGTTAAAAAGGTATATTTTTTAAGGGGGGAAATCATCGAATGACTGCTCTAGCCTGGATGAGGCAAAAGGGAGTGTCAGACTCTTACTGACTACAAAAAAAAACCCCGTTCCTTCTCCTGCGCTTCGAGCAGGAGTCCCAGTAACCCGTTAGGTTCACCGCGACTCCGAATCGGCATCAGCCCTGAGCCCTGTTGGGCCAGCCATAGCACCATATGTGCAATCATATACACAAAGAATGTCCATATTTACTTGATTAACTTTCTCCAGATTGCTGCCAATAGCGTCGGTCTTAATATGGGTACGATTTCCAAATCAAGCAAACAATTGTATATTTCAACCATCGACACTTCAGTCGGTAACTAATCACATAACTGATGAAATAATTGATATAAATAGGTTCCTACCAGGGCTAGCTAATAACAACTTTTCAAGTTATGCAAGTAGACCTTTTACACCGAAAATGTATTTTCATTTCAGTTCACGCTGTGTTCACGGCCACGGTATCGATCCGCCGCCAATACTATATACTTCAAGGCCAAACTTCTAGTGTTCGCATTATTTACAATTTGTAAACTTTGTTTTGTGTACACAATATAACATTATAGCTTTTATTAAGGACCTTGGTAGGTAAAGGTGTATTTAACTGTACCAGGTTTATGGCAATACGTTCGTTTGAATACGTATAACTAGAGAAAGTAAGTGCAGAACTCGTTTAGCTTCGATGATGATTAATGTTCGATAAAGTAACTTACACAACTAATATTCTCACACAGATAAAAAAGACTAATTAATCTGAACATCCTTCATTTATTAACAGTACAATATTATACAATACACAAGCAATGAGTACAGGGCCGTGCTAAGAGATTTGAAATAGGGTAGGCAGAAGACATCAAGGTATATGATTGAAAATTAACTTGGACTCGATTGATCTCGGAAAATAAAACTGACGAGCTATCATAATCTTGAGCAAGTAGGTAGGTATACATACTTAAAACTATCTAATTTGTATAAACAAATCAATAGAGATGATGACAGGGTCTGAAAATTAAAAATCAAATTAGTCCGTCAGTTAGGTAATGAAAAAATATTAGACACGTTTTTTTTTTATTTTGTTGTATAATGAAAACAATACTTAGATAAAACGAATCACAGTTTAGGAGGTAGCTACGTCAGTTTTGAGTATAATTCGTACTCCAAAAGTGACGTCATGCGATATTTCAAATCAATTTATCTTCGAAACTATTCGTTAAAGTAAGTAAATAAAATAACACATGTCTAATGTTTTTAAAAAATCTACCAGACGGACATTAAAATAAAAATTAGTCATCTACCCTATTATTTTAAAACTATTCGTGTATAAAGGTATATTTACTAGTTAACTATATTACAAATCTATTAACTATGTGAGTAGATACTTACCTACTTTGGAGCGGTAAAGTATAAATGGTTACACATCAAGCTATGCACAACCAGTATAAACTGAACATTAAATGTACAGAAAAAACGTACAAAGCGAGATCAAGATAGACTGGATTTAAAAAAACAATAATGAATTTGGTATGAGCACTAATCCGAACCGAATTACATAATAACTAGCTCCTATGGGTTAAAACGTATCCTATACGCTATCTCAGACTATAATCTACCTCTAAATTTTATCCCGATCCCAACAGCCGTCTTAACGTGATTTTTAAAGAAAAAAAAACCTCTAATTTCTACCACCATTTTCTCCTGTGTCGTGAGTGAACACCAACATACAAGTTCACATACACATGCCACAGAGACCCGGAACAACAATCTGTGGATCACACAAAAAGTTGTTCCGTGCGGGAATCGAAATTGTAACACGTTGCTGTTGACACGGCAGTCAGCTGCCCAACCTCTGCGCCAACGGTGCAGTCGAATAAATATTAAACAATCAGTTAACAAAACCACATTTCTCCATCGTTTAAAACTGTTACAGCACAACACTTTCAAATCATCTATGGCTTCGAGTTTCGTAGTTCATTCCGAAAATAGAAGCCACAAACACAGGGTGTAGGAATTGTAAACATTTACAAAAAGCGAGCGAGGCTAGGCAGTTGCGACCCTCCTTCTATTTCGAGGGACGGAAGGCGAACCACGTGCGCTCACAATACGCGCATAACGTTTGTACTTACGCGTATAATTTAGTAGCGGTGATTGGTAAATTGGTACGGGTTTTGAATTGCGATGAGTGAAGAATGGAGTAAAATAATAGCGTAGTTTCCAGGGTATCAAAATCAAAAATCTAATTAGTCCGTCAGTTAGATAATGAAAATATATTAAACACGTATTTGTTTATTTTGTCGTATAAAGTAACAATACGTTACGTCATAACGTGCTACACGCTGTGGCACGCTGTGGCGTCACACGATATTTCAAATTAATATATCGTCGAAAGTATTTAATTTTGTGAAAAAAGAAAAAATACGCGACTACAGTTATAAAACAATGTACCAGACGGACATTAAAATAAAATTTAGGAAACTATCCTATTGTACACATACACATACACACACACAAACACACACATTTTTTTTCTTCTTCTCTTATAATATCTTCCGATTCACTTCGTTGCGAGAACTAATACAGTTATTCATGTCCCTGGGTCGCGCCGGGACTTCAGTGCTTCGGTGTTTTAACTCGTCGAGTACCGGTTTTGTAGACACAATTATAGAACAATAGGTTGCGGTCACCGGTGACCGCTTGGTATTTGACAGTTTAATGGTTCCTGGCTTACAGGAGTTGCAGCGGTTTTGGGAGGTCGTGGCGGGCTTGTCACATAAAAAAAATATATCTTTCTGTATTGTTCTTGCTTCATATAGGTATTGACTTTCATCTCTGCCCATTTTTCAGGTAGTGGACATGCGCTGGGGCGTCCGTGATGAAGCCACCGACGATCACATGACCACTGAGCTCTGCATGAGGGAGATCAAAAACTGCCAGCGTCTCTCCATGGGACCCAACTTTGTGGTGTTCTTGGGGCAGAAATATGGATACAGGTAACTTGAAATACCATCAATATCTTGATTAATAAACGTATCACAGCTAATGACAATATAAATAATAATGTTGATTGTTTTTTACATTTTACTCCTAAACGGATGGACCGATTTTAATAAATTTGTATTTATAAAAATGATCTTGACGACCACAAAGACGTAGATTATTTATTAATTTAAAAGCAGAAATAGTCAGAACATAACAAAGTAACAATACTAAAGTACACGAATTAGTTCGTATATATGTCTGTCTTACGCATGACTACGTGTGTGTTTTGTATCTACTAAAATTATTTATTCAAATTTTATGACTACTGTGTCTGTTATAATTACATTAACAAACACCATTAAATGTTATTATTATACCTCAGGGACAACAAATTCTATGCTGCTCGTGTAGATAATGCATTCATTAGCCAGAATAGTTCTATAATTTCATTTGGAGAGACTGACGAACACAGAAGCTTGCGTCTCTTCACAGAGATGATATAGAAAATCTTTGTGTGTTCTCGTTCCTATAAACTTGTTGTCTTGTCGATTGAGTAACCGCAAATACGACTACCGAATGTAAGCTTTCAATTCGATGGAACTGAAATGCTCCTACGTCTAACAAAATATTCATCATCGTTATTCCAGTTCCGTCCACTGCACCACTAGTATAAACCTGTCTAGATACAGCAAATATCATCTCTCATCTCAGAATCTCAGTCTCATCAAAATGCTCAATTTACACAATGTATGCGTGCGTTTTATGTAACTACATATCTATTTATATACATCTTTATCCCCAAATAGGTAGACAGGTATGCACATTACGGCTCTAACACCCAATTATCACTATTTATGTTATTTATGTCACGACTCCCATGTAATAGGGGTTGAGCTTATAGCCATATACCGGGCGCAATTCTAGACTCCGTGCTACAACTGCGAATTTTAAAAAATTTAGTACTTAGCCACTCGGGAATCAAACCTGAGACCTCTTTCTTGCTTGGCAGTCGCACTTACGACCACTCGGCCAACGAGGCAGTCGGTGAACGTTATACTATTAGGTAATGGTATGGTATGTTTAAATTTGGCGAGTGCCTTCATGTTTAGGCTCTTTTTGTAAGAATATAAAGTCATCGATTCCCGCCCGGGTGTGGCGAGAGGCACTCCCTCTCGCCTCTTCAGTCAGTCAGACTCTTACTGACGAAAAACGGAGAAGATGTGGAAACGGGGTGGTCATTTCAACTCCTTCATCCTGTACTCTTGGTACATTTTGGCGGATGCTTTTGTAACATTTTTGGTATATTTCATTTCCAGGCCAATCCCAACATACGTGCTGTCTTCAGAACTGCAGATGTTGAAAGATGAGCTGGTGGCAGGAGGGGTGGATGTCATCCTACTGGATACTTGGTACAAGAAGGACTCGAACGCTGTACCTCCAGTATCTGTGCTTCAACCTATCTCTTCTATTTTGATTAATTTTAATAACAAGGTGAGTGGCGTTATTAACCTGGACTTACTACTGAAAGGAGAATGGCAGGTTTGTATGGAGGTTTGGTACCGCTATAAAATTTTGTATTTGTCATTGTTTTAACCAAGTGAATGGTCTGAACGATAGATATTTTTATTATGAAGTTTAGAAAAAAATTACATATTTTTAGAACTTCGGGTTCAAAAGTTATTTCACTTTGAAAATGTGCAGAAGGTACGTAAAGGCGGTATTACACTTGCCATTGCGTATTCGCTTCATTTGTACAAATATTTGTGAACTACGTACAAATGGCGTCCAAATAGTATCTATAAATGTAAAAGCGTGCAAATATACGTATATAGCAAATGAAGACGAATAAACCCTCCACACATGGTCTGTTTTGGCCGTACACAACAAATACGCAATGTCAAGTATAATGCCACCTTTACGCAAAAGTACATAATATGACAAATGACAGATGACAGTTAATTGAAAAATGTCAATGTTGACTTATTTTTTATTTGGTTGTTTTGTTTACAAACTAAACTCTAAACACTGCTCGCTACTCGTGACTGTTACACTTTGTATTATGAGTAAATTAATTAACTGTTAATTCAGCAAGTATGCTGTAACTATAGAGTTTTACAGAGTATGCTTTACAATCTCTTTCATTTACTAGGTGCCTACGAAAATGCAAATTAATATTGTGAGCGACTGTCATTGGGTAGAAGGCCTACATTTAGCAGTGGACGTCTTTTGGCGGATATGATAAAACTAATGTCTCACTTCACCTTGAATCTTGCGGGCAGATGCAAGATTTAATGTGTAAAATCAAGATTCGAGGCAGAGGCCTGATATACAAATAGTCTTTAAGTTAATTCGATTTAAACTTAAGCGTAGCTCTTTGAGAAAGTATTTCTTCTGAAAACTGGTTGCTTAGCAAGCGTTTTAAGGTTTAATTTCTAATAAGTAAGTCAAATAAGTAAAATCATCATCAGTTTCATCATTAAGTCTATAAGTGGCCCATGCCGACCGAAGGTCTCTTCTCACTGGATTAGGTTTAAGCATTAACTCGTTGAGTACCGTAATTATAGACACAATTAAAGAACAATAGGTTGTGGTCATCGGTGACCGCTCTGTGTTTGACAGTTTAATCAGTACGCTAGCTTAATGTGGGTTGGTGATTTCAAACTTATAATTAGAAATTATAAGCCCAGGTTTCCTCACAATGTTTTCCTTCACCGTTTGTCAGTGGTGTCTTTGTACTTTCTTAGATTATTAAATAATAAATAAAAAATATATATACATAACTCGAAAAAGTCACATTGGTACTTTGCCGTTGCAACTTGCACTCTCATGCATGAGAAACGGGCTTCTTAAACCTCCTGGCCACCACAACACAAGTAAAGAAATGTAAAATGAAAATGAACATTTTTGGTATAAAACTAAAGCAATCTAAAATAAAGATGGCATTTATTTTATAGATTGTTTATATATAGTTACTAGGTACCTGTTTAAAATAAAACAAATGTATTATTTTGAAATACTTTTATTTCATTGTATTTAGGTTGTTTCTAGGAGTACTTCTTCTAAAAAGAGAGCAGGCGGTGTCATACAGCACACACTTCATTAATTGCTGATATCTGTAAACAAGTAAGATAACTGTAAATAAAGTAAACAAAACAACATTTTTTCCATTAGTTTCACATGTTATAATTCTGATTCCCTATCTCAAAATAGAAAAGATAAAAATAAATATTTGATTACATTATTTGATTTTACAATGTTAAAATGCCTTTAACTCGTCGAGTACCATCATTATAGACACAATTATAGAACAATAGGTTGCGGTCACCGGTGACCGCTTGGTGTTTGACAGTTTAATAGGGTATTCCTATAACACACATCATAGGAGCTCAAACAGCATGCTAATTAATCAATTATTATAATTATAACATGTGTATAAACCTATTATAAACCGGTTATACACTTCACATACCTATTGAAGCTCTGACAGCCGATCAACATCTTCTGGCCTCATCTGTTCTACAAACGGCAATGTTAAAGTGAGGCTTAGTCCATTGTGTATGTGAACTTGTATGTTTGTAAACGCACCCACGACACAGGAGAAAATCCTAGTGTGGGGCAATTTTTTTTTTTTTTTTTTTTTAAATGTTTACATAACACATTACATCCTGATAGTGAACACTATGAGGTGGTATGTCAGGTTGTGGTCTTATAGATCCGACTCTTGTTAAGGCTCTCAGCCAGCATGGAACACGATCTTCATCATTGGAAGTAAGCTAAAAAAAGTAATATTATTAGAATGTCATATTGACTTTAAATTATATGATAATAGTATATGGTTAATACAATAAATTATTACCTTTCGTGGCTGAATCCAATCAGATACTATATGAGCTAGTCTTTGCTCCTGTTCGTTGGCGCCTTCAATTAAACCCCTGCGTCACCTTATCCTTGCAATGGAATGCCCACATACGACACAGACATGTCAATGATCAGTTTGTTTGCTGGACATACTTTCAGGAACATCCCAATACATTGCTAATTGCCAGCAAGCATGGCAAATATGGTCGGTAGGAGAGATCTAGAATAAAATGATACATTATAGGTAGATAACACTATGCCCCCTTTATTTAGGCAACAAGGTGACTTTCGATACGTCATGTGTAATTATAGGTAAGTACCTACTTACATCTCTAGGATAAGTCCACAATGGGATATTGTTGACCACGTCTAGTCTTCACTCTCATTTCCTAGAGCATGCCGTCTCATGCGACAAACTCTGGTTGTAATTAATGCACTGTAAATTCGTCATCGCGACAAAATACAACACACTATGCACAAATGAAAATAAGTGTATTTTCGCAATTTCGGCTACGGAGGAACGGCTGCCCAACTCAAAGTATCACCAGATGAATAAAATGACTTCCAATTTGTACAAACACATCATAACACCGCATTCGAAACCAACAGCAAGGCGCACTTGACATTGACAAATCGTCTTCAACAACAAATGTCAAATACCAGTTCAACATTGCCATATTCAAGTTTGTGAAAATGTTAATTATCGTTAATAATCCATGTAGACCTCACAAAATGAAATTAAAATAATGATATTTACTTATAAAAAATGTTTGAAATGGAAAGGAAAATATTCCATTGATATTAAAATAAATGAGTTTATGAAATAGCGACATTCAGTATACTCTGATTTCATGTTTACGCATGGCAACTTTATAAACGTCAATCGCGGTTTGTTTTTATTTAATATGTAGCCGTTTTGTTGATTGCTTCTTATCATTATTGAATATCAGATTTTCTAGGGCTTCCCAAGTTCTAAAAATCTATTAAATATGCTAACATAACGTATTTAGAGGATTCTATAGCTACCCAATTGCCCAAGGCAAAACAATGACAAATCTTTTTTTAGCAAAGCGGTACGAAATCTGCCGTTCTCCTTTATGCTTCTGGTACTTATCGTTCATTTCTGATTTAAAGTTATAGTTTTTATTCCTAACAAAGCTAAGTCGGAGGTCAATATTGACTTTTTAGTGACTACGTATGCAAATAACAGAAGCTTAATATTACTGACTATTAATAAGACATATTGTACAATTTTAGGTTTTGTACGACCCGAGAATCGAACATGACACCCACTAGCCACTCAATCAATGGTCTCATTGATGAATGGTCTACCAACTTTAAGACGAGATGCATGACAAAGATCTAAACTAAAATTACTTAAACAAGTTTGCTAAATATTTCAGAGAGTCCCAAAACTTCAAGCTGAAGATCAGGCTGTATGGTGGGACACTCTTGGCAAGATGCAGAAATTATTTCGAAAGGCTTCATCACAACTGTACAATGCTGGGAAGATTGACAAAGATTGCATGCACAATTACTTCATGTCGGGTAAGTGAACACCGTATAAGGCAATACAATAATGTACAAAATGCCTAGTAGAATTCGTTCAGTGGAAATCGTTATCATCAACCTTTCTTTCTTAGGCTTCCCCAATAACATGCCAATAAGTTTGATCAGCTCTTCACATCTAAGCACAACTGCCAGCCATTTTAAATTTTACGAATCAACATACATTTTCGAGTGAACTCGAAATTATCATTCACAATTTTCGGCAAACACTGTTTATAAAATCGCTTCTCCCAGTAATATTTTCCGTCCCGATAATCTCACTATAGTAAATCAAACCAAACCGAATGACGACATCCGCAAGGTGGCTGGCAGTGGTTGGATGAGAAGAGCTGAAGACCGAGCTTAGTGGCGTGCCATTGGAGAGGCCTATGTCTATCAGTGGACGAATACAGGCTGATGATGATGATGATGAGTAAATCAAACATGCAATTACTAATCAAATAAAACTCCTATGCATGCTTTATTTCATCATCAATCTCTTTCCATTCCAGTAACTGAACGCGAAGTTATCAACGGTGTGTTAAACGTGAAGAATACAAAGAACCACTGTCTAGCCTACGTCCGATACATCAATAACATCAACCTTCAGAACTTGAAGAAGGCCAGCAACTTCGTGGATATCATCAACAGGAGCTTGGATGCTGAGGCTTCCAAACTGCTGGCTGATCTAAGAGATGTTAGGCTACCAAACAAAATTGAGACTACCAACATACAGAAGTAAGTTTAGATTTTAGCGCAATTACCATATTTTACTTAGCAATTGTAAATGTTGTTGTTGCTGACTACACAATTGGCGCAAATGCTGGGCAACTAGCTGCCGCTAAGCGTGTAGAGGGTTTTTTTATGGAATAGGAGACAAACGAGCAACCGCATCACCTGATGGTAAGCGATCAGCGTCGCCCATGAACACCCGCAACACCAGAGGAGTCACGTTGCCGGCCCTTTAAAAAGGAATACGCTCTTTTCTTGAAGGTTTGAAGTTCGTGTCAGTTCGGAAATACCGCCGACGACAGATCATTCCACAGTTTTGCTGTACGAGGCAGAAAGCTACGTGGGTTTGATTCCTGCACGGAGCAACTCTTTGTGTGATCCACGAATTGTTTTTTCGGGTCTGAGCGTCATTGTGTATGTGAACTTGTATTTCTGTAAACGCACCCACTACACAGGATAAAATCCAAAAGTGGGTTAACCTTTATTTAAAAAAAATGTTTTTAACTAGGTTTTTTTTCAATATAAATTAAACCAATTTTAATCACTGAATATAAAATATAGTTTTTATCAAATTCAGCTGGATCAATAATGATATTTTTATACAAAAAATAGTACCGGCAATTTTATTAAATACTCTTTGCAATACAGGGCAATCTTTAGACTTAGAACAATCTTCATTAATTACATTGGAGAAACTAAGTTACAACTGATCCGATAACTAAAGTACCTACTTTTTTAAATCGATCGTTACACTAATATTTTCGTACTTTCTTTCAGATACACGGTAGAATGGATCGGTCGTGAAGGTTTGGACACGGAGACACATAGTGAATACCTCGGCCATTTCATAGCACATTTCTACAAGAACATTGTAAAGCTGGTTGACAGGTAAATTAAGATTTCATCGTCTTCTTCATCAACCAGTAACAGTCTTGACTATAGACAATGGACATCCTCTACAGGGTGTACCATGATCTCTACATCTGATAGGCAGGTCGCATTTCAAAGGCTTACCAGAGAGTGCTACTATCTGGTCTCTGCGAAATGTGTAGTCCATAAATGAGCTCTTACGACGACCGTCGGAAGCGTAGGGGTGGTGACTATGTATTCTAGTCTACCGTCAATAACCGTCATCACTCAGTATGACAACAACTTAGTTCCGTACAGTTAACTTACATTTTTGGGTTGCCCGGGCGTTTGAGTGGATAAACTACTTTAGGGAACAGTGAGCAGAGTTTCCTAAGATCGGAAAAGAAGGATCCTCCGACCAGGCAAGATGTTCGAGCCTAACGGGCTTTCTGCCTAATAGTGCTTCGTTGAGATTTTCTATCCGTGTTAATTCGCATGTAAACTTCACATGTGCAATGTAGGATTTTTCTGACGTCATCCATTGAATTGTTTTCATGTGTGCGTGAGCTGTCATTTGACATGTGTCATGTGTCGCCATGCTGCGTTTAAAAAAACTACCTTCAAGCCCCACTTTTTTGAAGTCAGTCGATTTATATACTAAAATCTTCTCTTAAGTGTGACAGACACTTTGCTGAAAACCGCATCAAAATCTGTTCAGCCAGTCGCGAGATAACCGCGCACAAACATACACACATACATACAGGTCGAACTGTATGTATGTGTGTATGTTTGTGCGCGGTTAAATCCATTTTTTTTTTATAGCACAAGCCGGTAAACGAGCAGACGGATCACCTGATGGTAAGCAATCGGCGCCGCCCATGGACATCCGAAACACCAAGGCGTTTCAAGTGCGTTACCAGTAGAGGATTCAATCCCGGCCCATTTTTCCAGTCCCGGGATTTCGGGATTATCTAAAGTCAATCCCGGGATCCCGGGACAGTCCCGGGATAGAAAGAAGTAACAGAAAGACAGTAATTTATATATTAAAATCAACTATTAATCATCAGTTCAATCTACAAAAAACGAAACAAAAATAATATTTTCTTCTAATAAAATAATAAACAAACAAACAAGGAACTTCTTTACTCAATGTAATAGTTTGTTTATTTTGATTCACATAAAATCTTTAAAAAATCAACTTCTAAACACTTGTTTAGATAAAAATTAAAAATGACTTAATTCTAAAGAGATCAGTAATACAAGGTAATTTATAAATTATTTCTTTCAACTTCGAAAATAATATCGAAGAAATAGTAAAGCATCCAACGACTCATCAGAAAGCTTGCTTCTTAATTTGTTGCACAAATATGAAGAGGCAGAAAAAGCGCGTTCAGGCTCAATGGAAGTTGGAGGAATCGTCAATAATTTTTTATAAGTCTTCTCCAAATTATAACCTTGTGTGGAACTAGCTTCATAAAGATTCATTTCTTGTTTAATGATCTCAAAAAGATCCGTTAACAATTACAAATGAAATCAGATGTGTAAACAAGATGGCCGTTAAAACTTCTAACGTGCGTTTCGCTTCGTTTCATGCATATTTTTATTCTACATCACAAAAATGAATCTCAAAATGCATTGGTAAGAGCATAAATTCCAATCCCGAAAATCCCGGGATGCTTAAAAAATAATCCCGAAAATTACGGGACCGAAATTTGATCGGGATCCCGGGATCCCGGGCTTCGGGATCCCGGGCTCGAATCCTCTAGTTACCAGCCTTTTGAAAATTGGGAATTTGAGGATTGTGGAGGATTCACGGATTTGGGAGACTAGGGACTAGGGTAATTGGGCCTCCGGTAACCTCACTCACACGACGAAACACAACGCAAGCCTTGTTTCACGTTGGTTTTCTATGAGGCCGTAGTATCACTCCGGTCAAGCCGGCCCATTCGTGCCGAAGCATGGCTCTCCCACACAATTATTCGATATTATTAAAAATATTCTTCTATCATCCATCCCATTATTTTTGCAGCATGAAATTTATTAAAGCAATTAACATATAAATGATAGGAGGAGCGTTCAGAGCTAATCTGGTCATTTGCATTGCATACGTTAGTTGGAAACTATGTCATTTAAACTAGCAAATCAATTATTGCTGTTAGGGTCTTACCGAAACATGGTATCATGAGGGTTTTTAGTAATTTTGAAACATAGGTTCCTGGTAGGTAAGATATTTACGCCTTGCTACCAACTCAAATCTTTATTTATTTTGTCTTTACATTGTCTGTATTGTTTATTAAACTGTCAAACACCAAGCGGTTACCGGTGACCGCAACCTATTGTTCTATAATTGTGTCTATAATGACGGTACTCGACGAGTTAATATCTAATTACCTATGCGAATTTTGATCTCAAATAAATAACTGCTTAAACTTTGATTAATATAATTTCCTGCCTCTCTGGCCGAGTTCGATTCCCGGGTCGGGCAAAGTATTACTGTTACTTGTTTTAAAAATAATCTCAGTAGGAGCACGGAGTCTGGAATTGTGCCCGGTAGGCATATGGCAATAGGCTCACCCCCTATTACATGGGACATGGGACTCATAACATATATAGTGAAAAGTGGGTGTTACATTGTACAGTGGTATAATGTGCACCTCTGCCTACCCCTTCGGAGAGAAAAGGCGTTATGTTAGATGCAGTTATGTAAAATAATTTAGGATCAGGTCTCAATTTCTTTATAGTAACCATAAAAAAATAGTAAGCGTACGTCGAGTACTCGTACTAGATGATTTCTTCCCTCTTTAGAGGTGATTCTTGATCACACGTTTAATACAGCGCTCCCTACCTTAGAGACCTGACAATCTTGATAAATCTGGATTTCAGAGCCATGCGTAAAGAAGACAGCAGTGCCCAGGGCGTGATAGTTACAGAGATTCTTCAGCATCTACACGCTTGCAACAACTCTGTGAAGGTGTTCCACGGGAGAGAACCAGACCTTGACTTCATAGAGAACTATATGAAGAACCAGTCTGATAAACCGCTGGTGTTGTATGGAGAAGGTGGGTAGACCTGTTAAAAAACTTTTTGCGACTTTCTTCTCCTGTGGTTGACAAGCTTTAGAAGACTGAAAACCTTCATTTTTTATAGCGTAAGCCGGTAAACGAGCAGACGAATCACCTGATGGTAAACAATCGGCGCCGCCCATTGACACCCGAAACACCAAGGCGTCACAAGTGCGTTACCGGTCTTTTGGGAATTGGAATTTGAGGATTGCGGAGGATTCGGGGAATCGGGAGACTAGGCATGGGGGTAATTGGGCCTCCGGTAACCTCACTCACACGACGAAACACAACGCGAGCGTTGCTTCACGTCGGTTTTCTGTGAGGCCGCACTCCGGTCGAGCCGGCCCATTCGTGCCGAAGCATAGCTCTCCCACACTTCTTGTTGATTTGTTCGAGCAAATAATGACCTAATATATTGCATAATCACTTAATTCTAGAATGAAACCTGGAATTCTTTGCTTAGAAGTTGAAGTTATAATCATGCGCCCAAACTGATAGTCTAATCATTCTTTTATAAACCACGTTTGAAAAAAAAGCCGACTTCAACCTCCTCTTTTTTTCAAGTCGGTTAATTAACACTTTGGTAGCCGTGTCGGATAATGATGTCCGACGCTAGTGGAGGATTGGCCTTTAACAGTTTTTTGTCTAAAACTGTTAAAGACTTTTTTAATTATTAAAATCTTTTCCTAGGTGTAATAGACACTTTTATGGAAACCACATCCATCCGATCACGCCAAGCATTTCTTTTATTATCAAGTTTTCATCTTCAGGAGGTTGCGGTAAAACCAGTCTCCTAGCAAAAAGTGCGGCGATGTCCCTGGATACCTGGTTTGCTGATGTGAAACCTACCAACGTCATCAGGTTTCTTGGAACAACTCCTGACTCCAGCGCCCTTACTCCGACCCTCATCTCTATTTGTCAGCAGGTACTTTCCTTTCTTTATAACTAAAAAGAGAAGTAGAGACTATTTAGTTCTCCTCTTGTGATCATTGATATCTAGTGGTTTATTTTGATCCGAGATCAAAAACATGCCTAAAAAGACACTGCCTAGTTGGCCGAGTGGTCGCAAGTGCGACTGTCGAGCAAGAGGTCTCGGGGTCGATTCCCGGGTCGGGCAAAGTATTCTGAGTCTAAGTATACGAAGTCTGGAAATGTGCCCGGTATACGGCAATAGGCTCACCCACTATTACATGGGACTCATAACATAAATAGTGAAAAGTGGTTGTTACATTGTATAGTTGGTATTAAGTGCTGTAATGTGTATCTCTGCCTAACCCTTCGGGAATAAAAGGCTTGGTGTTACGTTATCTAAAACATGAGTAATCTGCAATCTCCTGTATTTCATATAACTATGCTTCAATCATTGATTTCAGATATCATATAACTTCGCACTTCCCTTCGAGGGTATACCTGATGACCTGGTGCCTCTTACTGCTCACTTCAAGCACCTCTTGACAATGGCTACACAACAGCAACCTCTACTCCTATTCTTGGATTCCGTAGACCAGCTGACGGGGATTGGCACTGAGAATAATAAAGTATCTTGGCTCCCAACCAGACTGCCTGCACATTGCAAGGTAATGTGCAATTTTGATATATTCTTCTTTACTCTTTACACGACGTATTTCACTAATTCTAATTCTTCTTCACTTCTGATTCTTCTTCACGCACTCATTCATCTTCTTTCACCACTCCAACTTTTCTCACAGGTATCACAAGACATTGACATATAAAGGAGGCCCAGCAGTGGACCAACTTAAATCTTAACTCTAAATTCTTTGTTGAGAGTAAACTGTATGCGGATGACACTCAAGTTTTTTTTGGTTTTCAGATAATAGTCACATGTGCATGTGAAGAAGCTAACCCTGAGGTGTCTAAAGAGTATGACGTACTGCGGCGCATGATTGACTCAGAAGAGAATTTCTTAGAAGTAAAGGCTTTAGGAGAAGACTTGGCTATGCAAGTTCTAAAGTAAGTAGATCGCATGAATGTGGAACTGTGAAATGATCTGTCGTCGGCGGTATTTTCGAACCTATACGACCTTTAAATATTCAAGAAAAGAGAGTATTCCTTCCGACTCCTCTGGTGTGGGTGTCTATGGGCGACGCTGATCGTTTGCCTCCTATTTCATAAAAAAATAATATTTTTTTTTTTTTATGGAATAGGAGGCAAACGAGCAGACGGATCACCTGATGGTAAGCGATCAGCGCCGCCCATGGACACCCGCAACACCAGAAGAGTCACAGGTGCGTTGCCGGCCCTTTAAAAAGGAGTACGCTCTTCTCTTGAAGGTTTGAAGGTCGTATCGGTTCGGAAATACCGCCGACGACAGATCATTCCACAGTTTTGCTGTGCGAGGCAGGAAGCTACGTGAGAACCGCACAGTTGTGGCCTGCCAACCATCTATATGATGGGGATGCATATGCTGTCGTGAGGGTCGATGGCGAAAAGATGCGGCAGGTATCAGGTCAAACAATTCCTCAGAGCACTTCCCGTGGTATAAGCGGTAGAAAATGCACAATGAAGCTACATCTCTACGCATAATATATCTGAACGCAACGATATTAACATATTTCTAACCTTGTGCTGAAATAAATAATTTCAGGTTATGGATGGCATCTGCAGCTCGGGATTTGACCAACTACCAATGGCGTTTAGTGTCTAACGCGATTGCATCCTGTTCTCTACCCATATTTGTGAAGCTCGTCTTTGCTGAGGTATGTGACGATTCATTATCATTTACCTAACATAATAATATTGTATGACCACGGGCGTAACTTCAGACTTATAATTCTATTACCATCTTAACTCTTGTGTATCTGTGGTATATATACTCTATGGTCATATTATAGTCTATGGTGATAGATTATCTATGTGCGTGGCGTGGCGAAGCCCGCGAATTTGTAAAAACAAATTGAAGACGAATAAATGTGTGTGTCGATAGTCTTCTAACTTTCTACTTATTTTTTGTTTGCTTAAATAACATACTTAACATTAACCATCTTTTTCGAACATAAAATCTTAATAGAAAATATTTTTTCTACAGGTCTGCAGATGGAGAAGCTACACCAAGCCACAAGACACACACTTAGCATCCACTGTCATGGATTCTATTATGATGCTGTTCGAGAGAATTGAAAAACAGGTGATCATAGTGATACATTTTTTATACATATTTCATAGGCCGATGTTTGACCACTATCTCGCCTGGTGGTAAACGATGTGCAGTCTACGATGGAGTACGTCGTCCCATAAGCAATATTCATTTACGTACAAACAACACCTTCATCATTTTTCCCCTGGTCCTTTGTACAAGATGTCCGCTGTTGACCAAAGGTCTCCCTTAATAAATTTCAGGAGTGACTTGCATCCATTGGCTCACAGCGACCATTATTAGGTCTCCAGTCAATCAACCAATCCGTCAAATAATTTTACGACAAAAATATTTATTTATTAATGATCTTTTTCCCTCAGCACGGTCGTCTTCTCGTCTTTCACGCCCTAGCTTACATCACAGCAGCTCGCAGTGGTCTTTCGGAAACAGAACTAGAAGATTTGATCTCTTTGGATGATAAAGTACTGGACGATGTATACCAGTACCATTTACCTCCTGTCAGACGAATACCACCTCTATTGTGGACTAGGTAAGACATCTTCTTAGTTGACTAGATAATGAACTAAAAAAACTGATTCTTTAGGGGACTGGTTAAGTGGTTACAAGAGCAACCGCCGAGGATGGTATGGTATGTATTGACTTCAATTTCTGAGTCAAGGAATGTTTTATTAACTGTTCATTTTACTGCTTCCAGGATCCGTAACGATCTTCCAAATTATCTATCAGAGCGTGAAGCTGATGGTGTCTCCGTGATGAACTGGTACCACAGGCAGTTCCGTGACACAGCACGGGAGAGGTACTTCAAGAACATGAACATGGCCATGTACTTTCATTCGATGATTGCTGATTACTACTTGGGTAAGGAGTTTCTTCTCCTCCTTGTTTGTTTCTAGAAATTTCTGTTTACACACATCACATATGACATCACGCCTTTTACTCCCGAAGGGATAGGCAGAGGCATTACAGTTACGGCACCTAATGCCACTGTATAATGTAACACCCACTTTTCACTATTTATGTTATGAATCCCATGTAATAGGGGGTTAGCCGGACCGGGCACATTTCCAGATACTGTGCTACTACTAAGTTTTTTTTTCTATAAAAACCCAATAATACTTTGTTTGTCTATCTGTCTGTCTGTCTGTATGTTCACGCATCACGCAAAAACGAGCAGTCCGATTACGATGAAACTTGGTATGATTATATTCTAATATTCTGGACATAATACTGAGTACTAATGAAATACTATTTTGCAATTGTATGGCGATTAGGTAGCAAGCTTATTTAGTTCTTTATTCCAATAGTAATTTAACTATGTATTTCTAACTGCCATGTTTAACATTTCAATTACGTTTATTTGAACAATGAAATCAGCTCACAATTCATATTTAATGAAAGTTTTCCAAGTCCTTCGAACTAAAATCCTTGCATTCGTTAGTTCTTAGCTTGACTTTAAAAAAAGGTTCTCAGTTATATCTGTATGTATGTATGATTGTTTGTGCGCGATTATCTTGGTATTAATTGAACCAATTTTGATACGGTTTTCCGAAAAGTATTTGTTAGATTTAGGAGAAACTTTTATATTAAATAATAACCGACTTCATAGAAAGAGGGGGTTGACTTCGATTTTTTTTCTTGTGACATACCTACTAAATTAATTATTATATTTTCGGCTTACTCAAGTAACTGTTTGATGAGGAACTCGACTCGTTTCAAGCCATGCTAGAGGCTCATATTCATGAGCAACGTTCCACAACCCGCGACGCGACGACTGTCGCATTACTACTGGCTGCTGGACTTTGCGGCGGTGCGGGCCCATGCGCCCTCGGCCGTAATTCACGCGCACTTTCCTCTATCCGGTGCACGCGAGTCTCTAAGACTTGAAACTAGTCGAGTTCCTCGTCACAAAGTTACGTGTGTAAACCGAAAACTATAATATAAAATATTTCTTATAATTCTTTATGATGAATTTTAAGGAATTATAATATAATATAAGAAATATTATAATTCCTTCGTCTAGTGTAATTAATCTTTGTTTTACGTTCAATTTTAGGAATATGGGGCGGTGGAATACCGAAGCCCTTCAAGTACACAGAAATCCAGCGTCATCGTTTCAATCTGGCTGATAGAGAGGGTGTAGCAGACAGGAAGGTGCCACTGCAACCCCTGGTGTTTACCTCCGCTGATGGTGCTAACAAGAGATATAATTTGAGAAAGGTGAGTATAAATAAATATCTGAAGATATTCATTGCTTATTAGTCCGTCTACATTAGGTAATGATCCAACAATATCAAATAATTTTTTTCATTTTTTTTTAAAGTCTAGTCTTTGCTCTAGTGTCGTAGGTGCGTTTACAAATATACAACTTCATATACACATGACACCCAGACCCGGAATAACAATTTGTGGATCAGACAAAGACAATCTGTGGATGACACGAAGAGTTGCTGCTTGCTGCAATCAAACCCGTTAGCCATTACAAAATCCACGATGGATGTAGTCATGAAGTAATGAGAATGTTGAAGGTGTAAAAAATAACTGCCTCGCTGGCCGAGTGGTCGCATGTGTGTGTTACTACTGGGCAAGGGGTCTCGGGTTCGATTCCCGGGTCGGACAAAGTATTACTGGTTTTTTTTTTTCAGTAGTAGCACGGAGTCTGGAATTGGTATATGGTAATAGGCTCTCCCCCTATTACATGGGACTCATAACATAAATAGTGAAAAGTGGATGTTATATTGTACAGGAGCATTAAATACTGAGATGTACACCTCTGTCTACCCATTCGGGGGTAAATGATGTTATGTTATGAAAAAATAAGTGGAGATGGTAAAGATAATGAAGTGATAATCGTACCAATTACTTTCACGATCGAATTGGTCAATTGTGAAGGAGGAAGTCTTAGTACTTAAAATATCTAATTATCGTTTCCAGTTTGGTGAACTACCATTCCACCTGGTCCGTTCGAAGCGGTTCACGGACTTGTACGCTGAAGTGCTGTTTAATTATGAGTGGCTCCATGCGAAGCTGAACTGCTGTCCTCTGCAAGCTGTGCTGGCAGACTTTGAAGATGCTAAACTTCACGTCAGTAAGGATGCTGTCAGGTAAATAAAATTAAACCATTTGTATTCATCTTTGTTACTGGAACTTGTGCAAAAAGGTTCATCAGAGCAAAATTGCTATAAGTAAGAGACTTTTAAAAATAAAAATGAATTATTATGTTTTCGGCTTACCCACGTAATTATTTGACGAGGAACTCGACTAGTTTCAAGCCATGCTAGAGGCTCATATTCATGAGTGCTCATGAATGCTCACTGCTCATGAATATGATATGTCACTCTCTAGACCCGCAACACTATATTTTGACGCAGATTTCAGACTCGGCTTTCAGGCACGTTTTCGCTGCTCATGAATATGAGCCTCTAGTATGGCTTAAAACTAGTCGAGTTCCTCGTCAAATAATTACGTGAGTAAGCCGAAAACATAATAATTTAGATAATAATGAGTTCTTATTGTTAATCTGTGGGCCTGTTGTGTGCTCAGTCACAATTTCAGACTTCGCTATTGCTTGGAATTCTAAAACTCTCGGTGCTCTGGTATTTTTATACTTTATAACTAATCAAAATATCGTTCACTAAACTATATTGCCCAAAAATAATAATTTATCTCCATAACTCCAGGGAACTCATGTTGGTAGCCGATGCCCTGCGCCTAGGCGGTGCGATCCTGGGCACGTACTCCGACATGTTGGCCCCGCAGCTGGTCGGCCGGCTGCTGCCCGAAGCCCCCCACAACCCTGCTATATCGGCGCTGCTGAAGCAGTGTGTTCACAATGGAAAGACCCACTGCGCGTTACTGCCATCTCATCATTGTCTTCATACTCCTGGTGGACCGTTGAAGGTTGGTCTTGGATAATTTTACTTACTGCCTCATTGGCCGAGCGGTCGCAAGTGCGACTTCCGTGCAATGGGGTCTCGGATTGGATACTTGGGATGGGCGAAGTACTACTGGGTTTTTTTTAAAAAATCTCGAAATGTGCCCGGTATATGGCAATAGACTCACTATTATATGGGACACATAACATAAATAGTGAAAAGTGGGAATTACATTTTAAGTGCCGTAATGTGCATCTCTGCCTACCCCTATGGGGATAAAAGGCGTGAAAAGCAAAACAAATAGTTTTTTTTTCTTTTATAATAACTATCGTGAGGCATACTACATTAACTAAAAATTACGAGTCACTCACGTAAAATATACTGAGAAAAGTTTTACTAGTTTCGAGTCATAGGGGACTCTTACTCATGAGCAGCCTGTGTGATCGCTGCGAAATCGCGTAGCCTACTGTGCACGAAACTAGTAGAGCTATTCTCAGTATATTTACGAAAGTAAGTCGTAATTTTTAGTTAAAAAAACGTTTTTAATTAAACATATATTCATAAATTCAAAATATCAAGATAAAGAATGTTCATAAATGCTTCAATGTATTGTATTTGTACTCCAATCACTTCAATTCTTTAACTAACATCAAGCAGACAATTGCCTAATTAAGTTTTTGTACATTGAATAGAAGAATAGACAGTTCCTTTTTCAAAAGTAACCACTTTCTCTCATAACCTTTCAGTACTCCTTAGAAGGACATCAGTTCGCAGTCTTCGCATTCCGGCTGAGCTCTGACAAGCGCTACGTGGTCTCCATCTCCAGCAGGGTAATCTCCTGGGACCTGTCCACGTCAGATCTGGCAAGAGACTTGTGTCCTCAACTCGAGGGCATCATGCAGAACTTGGAGCTTTCACCAGATAATAAATGGGCTGCTGCGTCTACTAATAATTCTGTTGTGAGTTTCCATCATAGAATGAGGAGTTTCAGATTCGTTGATGTATCTTTTATTGGTGTTTTTTTTTCTTCCAGTCTATGCTCCTGAACATGCTGACCAGTGAATACATCACTATTGACAATCCTCTCGGTGAAGGTACGATATATAATGAACGATGTATTAATAAATATTCGAAATCTTGAAATATGTTTTCTTTACGGGATAAGCCAGTAAACGAGCACAGCGATCACCTGATGGTAAGCAATCGGCGTCGCCCATTGACACCTGGAACACCAGAGGCGTTACAAGTGTGTTACCGGCCTTTTGGGTATTAGGAATTTGAGGATTGTTGGGGTTTTAGGGATTGGGGAGATTGGAGAAGGGGGAGGGATGATTGGGCCTCCGGTAACCTCACTCACACGACGAAAAACAACGCAAGCGTTGCTTCTCGTCAGCATTCTGTGAGGCCGTGGTATCACTCGGGTCGAGCTGGCCCCTTCGTGCTGAAGCATGGCTCTCCCACAGAATGTGAGAATCGACCGACTTCAATAATAACTAATTTAATTCAAAACTTCCTAACTTTGAAAATATCCAGATCTGACACGCTATGTAATTATAATTGCTATCACTATACGCATACGTTTAAGAGATATTATTGTATACTACTTGAGATCTGTTCACTTTTCTCATCAGGTGAAACTGTCCGTGGAGTCTTCGTCCTGAACCACCACATGTTCATATACGGTCCTCGTTCCTGGGTGCAGTACACCATGAGAGGAGAACATGAGCAGACCCTTCCAGCTCCTAACACTGCACCGTTTGATGATGTTACTTGGGAGATACTCTGTGAGTCTATTTAGAAGGACCACGTAATCAGTTGTATCCAAACACATTGTTATCTCCTATGCGCCTAGTGCAGATATTTTCACTTGCACACACACACATACACACATTTTGTATGGACCTTATGTCAAAATCCTATCTCAGTAAGCAAATGTAGGTATAGGTTGTAGAAAATGGCCGTAAATCGAACGCGTTGACATTACCTACGATTTGTATAAGATAACAGCGCCATCATATAAGTAAGTAATGTTGCCATCCCAGACACTGATCGATTTTACGAAAATGCAGTCTCACTTGGCCTAACGCTTGGCCATGCATATTGGATTTGAAATTGACCCCATACTTTCATACTTGGTTGTGTTCTACTTAATATTTTATGTGTAGTATAGTGTGAAAAGTATCTAGTAGGGTATAACTGGGCCCATTGTTTAACCGAAATGCTACCTGACTTCATAATCTCATCACTTACAGCAATGGACTTCCGTGACCTTGAAAACTTCTTCCTTGTGATGTGGAGTGGAGACCTGGATGAGGACCGGCTTCTGCTACAGTTTTGCAAGAATGGGGAGTGGATGCAGCCTCTGAGGTGCCGTGGTGCCCTCACCATGAACAAACACTGGACTAGGGTGTATTGCAGTGATCCGGAAAGGGGATATCAGGTGAAAAACTAAATAAATATTTTGAGACTAATTTCAATAAATTATTATAGTGGTTAGTATGCACATTACTGCCTTTGTTCTTTGGAGAAAGACACCAAAGTTTCACATACTTACAACTTACAAAACGAAATGAAGTTTATTGCTTTTTCATATTTTGAAACAAGCACGTTTACTGACGGTAAAATGTATTTTGACGTCTGAAATGTTCCTTCATATGAATTGCTTCGACTTTAAAAAACATAATATAACCCCACGCCTTTTTATCCCTGAAGGGGTAGGCCGAGCTGCACATTACGGCACTTAATGCCACTGTACAATGTAACACCCACTTTTCACTATTTATGTTATGAGTACCATGTTAGGGGGTGAGCCTATTGCCATATACCGGGTACATTTCCAAACTCCGTGCTACTACTGAGACTTTTAAAAACCCAGTAATACTTGGCTTGACCACTCGACCAACGAGGCAGTCTCTGATACATATTCCAATACTGTACGCATATGTGAGAACAATGCAAAGACACGCTTGACGCATTATAGAGGTACTAATTACAAAACTTACTAAAATAAAATAAACCTATTATAATATTATTAACCTGACTCTATTTTCAGGTGTCCATCTTCGAACTAAACGTAGAAGATAAATGTTGGAACAAAGTAGAAGAGATATTTCATCAAGAAACAGATACAGCTGAAGCTATGCTGCAATTGAAAAGAGGCAAAAAGGATCGAATGTTGCTTGGTAAGTAAATGCCCTACACTTTTTTATGGGGCCGGGTTTTTTTTAAGGGAGGAAAATCATCGAATGCCTGCTCCCGCCTGGGTGAGGCGGGAGGGAGTGTCAGACTCTTACTGACTAAAAACCACCCCGTTCCTTCTCCTGCACGTCGAGCCGGAGCCCCGGTTACCCGTTAGGTTCTCCGCGACATGGGACCGGGGGTAAGACAACAGACGGATCACCATCGGGGGTAAGAGATAATCTAATAAACAGCGCCAATCATGATCACTTGCAACAGTAAAAGAGTTAAGTGCGTTGCCCCCGTTTTGAGCAGAGATGTTGGGGCTTCACTCCCACGCTAAATCACAACGCAAGTGATGTTACACGTCAGTTTTCTATGCCACCGTAGTATCATATTTTTTTCTTAGAACAGTATTTGATCAGATAGAAACTAATACAACTATCAACCGCGGTCAAATTACAATTACGGTTTTATTCTCAGAGTAATAGGATTTTTTAACAAAAATTAGGTATTAATTTACTATTTAAATTATCACTTTCAGCGACAACAACTTACAGTTTTGTTGTGTGGGACTTTGACTGTAAAATACCAAGAGTAAAGCCAGAGCCAGAAGTTAAAGAAGGTGATGAAAAAGAAGAAAATGAAGACGTAAGTTGATTCCTTTTTTTCCCAACTCATATTTACTGGCTCCATCCAAAAATTGTCTGTAAGAAATCGCATTCTGTGATATGCCCATTGTACTCATTTTTTATTTTTCTCTTAATGTTTTTATCGTGTACAATTAAGTGTAAAATAAATAAATAAATAATTTTAACTTAACCTGTGTCAATTATAAGAAACCAGTCTCGTAAACCCTTTCGTTACACCATTTTCCTAGAATGTAACACTATTTTTATGCTTGATAAATATTTCCAGGAGGAGAAACCAGAGGAACCAGAAATAGACTACCGGGTGCATGGCATAGTTCTGAAGCTGCCTCACACTATTCGTAACATTTCTACGAAGATGACGCTCTCCAACTCCTTTATGATCAGCAACAATAATACTTATGCTGTCGCTGGAGTCAGGTAATATACAGCTATGAAGGATATAAAATACAATAAAAAAAATCATTAGCTACCTAGCTATACGTCAAAACAACGGTCAGACAATTTTCAAAAGTTGGGATACGTTTATATTAATGCTTTCGTGAAACGTACTAAATTAATTATTATGTTTTCGGCATCCTCACCTGTTTGACGAGGAACTCGACCAGTTTGAAATTGTGTATCAGCGCCATCTATTGAATTTTTGTTGAAACTTCTGAACTCGTTCGATATAATGCGAATGTCTTTTTTAAATGCTTACTAAAAACATATGTTTCAGGTGTTTTAATTAAAGCTTAACATTTTTACGCGTTGTCGGTTTATAGAAACTTTAAACGAGGAGTTGACTTTATTATTTTTAAAGTTAAAAGGAAGTTATCGGAATCTTATGTTGGCGCTAGTATCAAAGTTTTAAATTATTATCAATGAATGTTTCTTAGTAGTAAATATTGGTAAGTAATAATAAGACGATGATGCAATTCCATTTGACTTATGTAAATTAACGTTTTGTTTTTTTATGATTAAACACTGGGTTGCCTTAATGTTTTAGCTATATTTTTTTATAATAATCACTCAATTGACTACTATGGGTAATGACTTCATTCATTTCCAATATTTTCGGCCATATTGTTTTCATATGATGTGCGATCGCCTTGTTTATGTTTTCGTTAAAATTATTAGGAAATAACATAAAGTTGCGTAATGCGTAAATATGTGTAGAAGTAGTTAAATATAATTATGTGTAGGTTTTTCAAATAGTATTTGTTTATCAGTGTCTAGTACAATTACCTATATTATTGGATTGTGAAGTTTGTGTTGATAATAGGTAATTCTAAGTGTTTGTGGAAACTTCAAAACAGTAAGTTTTCGTAAAAAAAATTCCTTTACGACTAGATTCTGGTAATGACCATAGGCAGGGTCATCTGGTAATGTACTCGAGTTACGAGAATTGACCTAAGTAAAAGGTAGGTAATGTAAATATGTAGGTACTATTATGGATCTATCGTCTAGTTGTGTAGTTCCTTGCAAAACTTGTATTGTTGATTATCTTGTTTGATAATTCTTAAAATATCATCTTAGATTTCGGGTTGTACTGATTTACACATTAATTTATTATTAATAATTATGTAATGTAATAACAAATGTACCGCTTATACTCGGCTCGGCCACAGCCGGCCGCGCTTGTTATTGTTGTTTTTGTTTGTTGACAATCATTATGTCAAGTTGACAAACGTTCCTACGACCTATATTATACGTTCTTAAATTCGTAATTTATGTAGATATTATGATTTTGAATAGATTGATCAAACTTAACAATTCGATAATTGAATTTGGTTCATTAAATTTATGCTTCATTATTAGTAGGTACCTAGATATAATAAATGAATACTTCATTTTTTGTAAGTTGGCTTATTCGATAGCCGATGAAGTACTTCACAAAAAATACGCGAGGATGTCAGTGTATGTAAATTGGCGAAAGAATAAACTACAATATTCTTTAACGCACTTTTCGAAATGTATTATGTAGATGTACCACAAGATGTACCTATCTAGTGTGAGTATATGATTGTTTTTCCGCGACCTGCGACGCGGCGACTGTCGCGGTGCTACTGTCTGCTCGACTCCGTGGCGGTGCCATACGATTAATTGTGACTCGACCAAGCATGATGTTCTTTAGGAGCCATTTTAGCATAAAAATACAAAATTTAGCTGAAGCTTTACCAATGTAAACTTAATTTATTCAAACACCTGATTTGCTGGTTTACAGGAAAAATCTCTACGTCTGGAGTTTGGAGACCACGAAACTGATCAAGATCTTGGATGCTCACTTCGGCAGAATAGTCCAGCTTGAACCTTTAACAGTAGGTTCCTGGAACAACGTGATCACCTCCTCAATTGACAGAACTGTGAAGATTTGGAACATTGACAACATATTTGAACAAGTCCATAAGATAGATAGGCAGGAGTTACCTATAGATTCTATCAGGTTGGTCAATTTAATAAAATATTGCCCTTAAGAAGTTAGTAACTAAAAATTCTACTTTAATAAAAATCCTGAATTCTGTCCATTTCAGTCTAGCTCGTGACAAATGCTTAGCAGTCACAGTGACTCGAAGTTGTTGGGGTCTTTGGAACACCAGTACTGGCAAGCTCCTGGCCCAGCTGGCTGAAGCACCGCTAGGAGCTATCGTCACTCATGCTGTGATCACTCCAAGCGGTGATAATGTGGTCACGGCTGAATCTGGAAACATCGTGATTTGGGATGTGGTTGAGAAATTGGTAATATTACTATAACACATAATTACCTAAAGCTAACCATCTCCAGCATAGTAAGGAGATGTCATAATAAAATTATTAGAGACTTCAAAAATCTGGAATGGAAACTATGGATCACAATACATCCGAGAAGTTGAACGTTTTCAGTCGAGAGTCTCAGTTAATAATGTAATACGTAGTTTTACTATTTATTTTCGTTCCAGGCTATACACAAAGACGAACAGAAAGGCATCAAGCAAGTTCTCCTTCTAGAAGATGGCACCAAATTCATTACAATCTCCATGCAAGCGTCTACAGACAATGTGGATAATGTTGCCATGGCTAATATTATAGCAAGGACTATTCCTGGTAGGTTTTTTATACACACTGACAGCTGCATTTGTGACTTGATTAATCTGACCAACGAAGCAGACCATTGATTCACATAACATAACAGAACATCACGCCTTTTATCCCAGAAGGGGTAGGCAGAGGTGCACATTAGCCACTGTAGAGGTACAATGTAACCCCCACTTTTCACTATTTATGTTATGAGTACCATGTAATAGGGGGTGAGCCTATTACCATAAATCGGGCACAATTCCAGACTCCGTGCTACAACTGAAAACTTATTTAACCCGTTGATATCCATCCCCTAAATTTGGTCATACAAAAGTATTCTCTTAAACCTAGTAATACTTTGCCCGACCCGGGAATCGAACCCGGCAGTCGCACTTGCGACCACTCGGCCAACGAGGCAGTTTTATGTATTTTGAATACACAATAGCAAAAACACGTCATCTTACTACCTGCCATTTTTCCAAGCTCCCAGCAGTGGTTATAAATATTATATTATCTTTGGTTACTGTCTTCTATCAAACGATATCGTATTACAAACTCCGTGTGCATGGGCACCTGGCTGCCATGCAACGTGTCGCGGGTTCGATTCCCGCACGGAACAATACTTTGTGTGATCCATAAATTGTTGTTCCGGGTCTGGGTGTCATTGTGTATGTGAACTTGTATGTTTGTAAACGCACGACACAGGAGAAAATCCTAGTGCTTGGCACAAAAAAACAAGTCATGATTTTGTTTGGTTATAATGATGGACACAAAAACGAAGCGGAACGATTCGCGTGCAGCCGCCGCATCGCACCGCGTCGCATTGAATTCTCGTGTTGTCGATTCATAATCGCGTTCGCTTCCAGGTCGCTCACGTAGGACGTAGCGTTACATTCATTCCAATGTTTCCGAATAAACTATAATTAAATTCGAATTTCAGAGGGTGAAACCATTTACAATGTAGAATACGAGGTACGAGGAACTGGGTATAAAGCAGCTGTGGTATCTGCGGATGAGCACCATGTTGTAGCTCCTGGAGTTGATAAGTCTTCAAGGGAATGTCTGCATGTATTCCATGCAAGAACTGGCGCGAGGCTGCATAGGTATGTATGAAAAATGTAGTTTTAATCAAGACTACAATAAATGTTGTACAGACTCTTAAATATTACGACACTGGATCAGAATAATCGCCCATTATACTTTATTAAACCTGAAATTGGACCTGATGGTATGTTTAAGGTCTCAAACAACAATATTTTTCAGGATCCCTATAAAGAACAGTGGTATCAAGGACATGCAATCTATAGTGGCATTACCACACAAACCGCTGTGGGTCGCTGTAGTCGGTAACGACAAGGCTGGCATTCTGGATATCAAGACTAAAAGGCACATCAGGTAAGCAGCTTCTCAAACGAAAGAAAATATTACTTAAGTTAGTGATAATGTCATAAAGGCAATAAACAGCAATGAATAGTTACACTCTCAAAGTTTTCTTTAATAAAATACATTCAAGAAAAGTGTTAGCCATTTAGTCAACAACTTACAAAACTTGACTATATATTAAGTGATATGATTACACTAATCAACGAACACAATACTAGCCCTTACTTTCACGAACTTCGGTCACCGTAAGGACGGACCTGCGGACGGCGAGCACGGGTGACTCACCGCCCGACCAGAACCAGACCCAATCTTCCGCGCGCGTCTCAAAGAGCCATCAGACCACCACAGATGGGGCCCAATAAGCCTGATGGCGATACGGAGCCGCGGAGGACTTAACGGGTCACCGGTTCTCCGGCTCGAAGTGCAGGAGTAGGAACGGGGTGGTTTTTAGTCAATATGAGTCTGACCCTCCCTCTCGTCTCACCTGGGCTGGAGAAGTCATTGAGTGATTTTACCCCTCAAAAAAAAACAAAAAAGAAGACCTTAATTTCAATCCTCATTTTCTAGTCTTCTAACAATTCGATCATCGATTGGTTAAGTAGCGTCATTTCATAAATTTCCAGATTCGTCCCCCGTTGGAACGGTGCCTGCACTCGAGATGGTAAAATAGGACTTTGCGCACCCTCTCGAGGTGGTTTGGACCTGATCGAGTTAAAGAGAGGAACTTCAGTCCAGCAGCTAATATACAGGGCGGCCGAAGGTGTCTTCTCGATCATCACCATGTTCAGTTCCACTGATCAGTACGTGTTCTACTACCACAGTGGGAGGAAGACCTTGAGGGTTTTTAGGTTGGTATACGCTCATTCATTGTTTGGAACTGCATTGATAGATCTATTTTCATATTTGTAACATAAACAGAGTTGTGAATTAATATTAACCTCTCGTGCGCCTCTCGTACACACGGGTAATTATTTTATTAGAAAAGCGAATTAACTAGTTATTCTGTTCAATCAAATAAAGAACGGGTTGCAAACTTGAAAATATACGTCATAAAAATATCCAATCGGTGCGCGTTTCTCGTACACCCGTGTGTACAATTGCGCGATGGGCATTCAACTCTCTCGTACACCCGTGTTTACGAGAAACACGCGAGAGATTAAAAGTTTAATCATTCAGAATTATCATGATCACTTCAAAACCATGTTTTGAAATTAAGTAAGAATTTTATTGGATTTTCATCTATATTAGCTTTGACTTCTTTTTAAAACTACACTAAAATGAACGATAGAGTAGATGCATATTATTAAGCGTTATTAACTGGTCATCTTCTTTACATCCAGGACGGTAGATGGCCGTGCCATAGCAGAGTACAGGGCTCCAGCAGAAGTGACAGGTGTAGCCAGCGCGCACGGCGGGACGGCAGTGGCCATAGCATCACAAGATGGCTGTCTCACCATCCTCGACATTGTGGATCCACATGAGTAGAGGAACAATATTATGGTTGTGATTAACTTGGCTGGTGATTTTGGTGATAGCCCAGTCTTAGCAAAATATACACATGTGTATATTTCTATTTTCTAGTACCTAATATTTCAGTTTTATGATAAACCTAATAGATCTTGACTGCCTCGTTGGCCCAAGTCGCAAGTGCGACTGCTGGGCAAAGGGTCTCGGGTTCGATTCCTGGGTCGGGCAAAGTACTGATTTTTTTTAATTGTCAGTAGTACATTCGGACCTATACGTAGATATAGGTAGGTAAGGGGTAGCCCTTCTCGGGTTATAGGCGTGATGTTATGTTACACCGTCTAAGGGCCGAATTTTCTAACGCCAGTTAAATTTTATCAGAGGAATAACTTTGAATACTTGACAATTCTTATATACTAAAAATTGTCAACCAAAAATTTTATTCTACAACTTCTTAACTTCTTAATCCCCGATTACCTATAAAAAATCCACAACATTTGTTCATACAAAAGTAGTCTTTTACATTCGATAATAAGGTCTATAATAGAGTAAGTGGAGAGCAGTCACCGTTGACCTCTTGGGGACTGGGCAGTGATTTAACTGATGACTGAAAAATTGGCTCTAAGTGATTAACATTATGTTTTACTTTTCTAAATTGGACATATTTCATAAGTCTGGACTGAAACCAACCACTAGTCAAGTCGTTTGCTCTGTGATATGTAGGGATGTGAAGTAGAAGGGAATGAGATCTCAGAAGGATAAGTAGGTAGTGTTTCGAGGTTGTTAGTATATATAGGTACATAAAAACTTTCGTGAGACATACGAAATTAATTATTATGTTTTCGCCTTAATCACGAAACTGACGAAAAACTCGTCTAGTTTCAAGCCATGCTAGAGACTCGTGCACGCCGCCGCCGGCGATACCAGGGATAGAGGAATCGTGAATCACGGTAAAGGGCGCGTTGGGCCCTCAACGCCACAGAGCCGAGCAGTCAGTACCAGCGCGACAGTCGCCGCGTCGCGGGGCGCGGAATGCTGCTCATTAATATGAGCCTCCTCTAGTATGAAACTAGTCGAGTTCCTCGTCAAACAGTTTCGAGGATAAGTCGAAAACATAATAATAAAGTTGTTAGTATACTTTATATTATAGCACCAATTACTTACGTAGAGTCACTATTATTGTATCTAGATGTCGTTGTAGTATTGTAAAATGTAGACAATTTAGAGTCAGAGACTGCCTCATTGGCCGAGTGGTCGCAAGTGCGACTGCAGGGCAAGAGGTCTCGGGTTGGATTCCCGGGTCGGGCAAAGTATTACTGGGTTTTTAAAAAAAAACATCTCAGTCGTAGCATGGAGTCTGCAATTGTGCTCGGTAGGTACATGGCAATAGGCTCACCCCCTATTACATGGGACTCATAACATACATAGTGAAAAGTGGGTGTTACATTGCACAGTGGCATAATGTGCACCTCTGCCTAACCCTTCGGGGATAAAAGGCGTGATGGTATGTTAATGTTAATGTAGACAATTTTCAATATATGCGGCGTTTGTTTATTGTATATTAATAATTCTTTTATAAACTGAACGTTCCACCCCCTCTTTTTAAGTCGATACTAAAACCTTCTTCTAAGTGTAACAAACATTTTTCTGAAAACCGCCATCAAAATCGGTTCAGCCAATCGCGAGACAGTCGCGCACAAACACACATACATAGAGGTCAAAATGAGAACCTCCTTTTATCTTAGAATCTTTGAGAAATGGATAAAATAGCTTCAGTTTTACAAGAAACTGTACATGAACAAACGCCGCAAATGAATCAGTTTCAATGATCTTTCCAGTAGTTATTTAAGTAAAGGCTAGAAGTATTTGTAAGTTCTCTAATACCCATTTTTGGAAGTGTCATCTTTAGTAGGGAACATTTCAAAATTTAGCTGTTAATGTTAAAATACGCTAGTCAAATATTTGAAATACCTATCTGCTTTTAATCATTCAACAATATTGTTATGTATACAAAATATTTATTTGTTAAACTATTTATAAATATACTTACCTCATGTAAACTACAGTACCTGCGTTCATGTAACTGAAATACCTCGTCAAACGTTACTTTTTTATTAAGTTTTAAAATATCTAAATATTTATGCCATTATGCGATCAAAATGGTAATAAATCAAACAATGTTTATCATTATTTCGATTCTTTCGTCAATTTAAAAAAAGTCGGTCTGTTGAGTCCTTTTTCAAAGTCGATTAAAAAAAATAAGAAGATTGTTAATATTCATATTAACACATGTAATATTTCAGGACTTTGTAATAAAAGAAGATATTTAATAATTTATTGTAACATATTTTGATCGCAAATGCAATAATTATTGTTTACAATGGTTTAAATATTTTATTACTTTACATCAGAAATATCTAACCCGATAAGAAAACATTTCTAAATATACGTATAACTTATTTATGTTAAATACCTCTATATAAAACATTATTTAAATAATTAAATAAGAACTACATATATAATCCATTGTTTTATTTCAAAACACTTCGTTTGTGGTAAAGTCAAATTGCAATTAATGCAATGTAATTAATTGCATTATAACTATTGTAATGTAATTAATGTAATTTTATTTTTATGTTATTCTAATGTATGCAGTTTTTGTTATGCAATTAAGTTAATGGCAAGATTATTATCTACTTCCCATACATTCTTCAGTCATATAAAGGTAAAAAGCAGACGTTGTGCATCATTACATTTTAATTCATTTAATGGTCAAAAGCTGTCTGTGCATAGCTTTCTGTGGCCAATCTTTGTCATAGGTGGCAAGTTCCCAGAAAGCTAGGCATAGAGAGGAATGAAAGGAAAGTATAGGCCTTTGCCCTGCAGTGGGACGATCACAGCTGAAAATTTAAATAAAATAATAAGATTAAAAGAAAACATTTTACCCTAAATTATTAGGTGTGTCGCGGAGAACCTAACGGGTAACCGGGGCTCCGGCTCGACGTGCAGGAGAAGGAACGGGGTGGATTTTAGTCAGTAAGAGTCTGACACTCCCTTCCGCCTCACCCAGGCGGGAGCAGACATTCGATGATTTTCCCCCATTAAAAAAAAAATATTAGGTGTTCCCAAATTAGCTGTGATAAAGAATAGGTTAAGACATATTTCAATAAAATCATGTAATAGGGTTACTACAATATTTTTACCAAACACAAAAAACCCCAATAAAACTAAAATGAAAAAAATAAACGATAATATTAATATTTATTTTCGATCACAATATCAGAGTTGTCCGCGCGCTCGATAGATGGCGACTCAGGCAAAAATAGATCGCGCTATGGTTTCGTTACCGCGACTTATAGACCCTCGCCGCGCGCCGACTGTATGGTTGACTTTATTTGTTAAATAAGAAACAAGATTTTTCAAGAAAGGTTACTGATCAGGCATCTGTCTGGTTAGTGATCTAAGAAATTATGTAAAAAACAAATAAATTATAAAATTATACATACACTGTACAAATTTACAAAAAATACTGCACTGACTGAAGTGTACTGAACTGTATAATGTACAGTATACAGATGATATTATGTATTTTTTTTAATAAGGGGGGAAAATCATCGAATCGAATGACTGCTCCCGCCTGGGTGAGGTGGGAGGGAGTGTCAGACTCTTATATACTGACTAAAAACCACCCCGTTCCTTCTCCTGCACGTCGAGCCGGAGCCCCGGTTACCCGTTAGGTTCTCCGCGACTCCGAATCGGCATCGGCCCTATTGAGCCCCATCTGTGGTGGTCTGATGGCTCTGAGGCGCGCGCGGAACGCGACGCGCCGTACGCTCGGGTCTGTTTCTGGTCGGACGGGGAGCCACCCATGCTCGCCGTCCGCAGGCCCGCGCTTACGGTGGCCGGAGATCGTCCCGCGATCCCCGACGCCCGGTGTGTCCTTCGCGATGGCTGGGTTGCGAGGAGGCAGCGCTTCGCTGCCTCACGCGTCCCGCCTCCTCCTTAGCTAGCATGACTGCTTCGCAAAAGGAGGAGACGGCATCCCAATTCATTTAATGGTCAAAAGCTGTCTGTGCATAGCTTTCTGTGGCCAATCTTTGTCATAGGTGGCAAGTTCCCAGAAAGCTAGGCATAGAGAGGAATGAAAGGAAAGTATAGGCCTTTGCCCTGCAGTGGGACGATCACAGCTGAAAATTTAAATAAAATAATAAGATTAAAAGAAAACATTTTACCCTAAATTATTAGGTGTGTCGCGGAGAACCTAACGGGTAACCGGGGCTCCGGCTCGACGTGCAGGAGAAGGAACGGGGTGGATTTTAGTCAGTAAGAGTCTGACACTCCCTTCCGCCTCACCCAGGCGGGAGCAGACATTCGATGATTTTCCCCCATTAAAAAAAAAATATTAGGTGTTCCCAAATTAGCTGTGATAAAGAATAGGTTAAGACATATTTCAATAAAATCATGTAATAGGGTTACTACAATATTTTTACCAAACACAAAAAACCCCAATAAAACTAAAATGAAAAAAATAAACGATAATATTAATATTTATTTTCGATCACAATATCAGAGTTGTCCGCGCGCTCGATAGATGGCGACTCAGGCAAAAATAGATCGCGCTATGGTTTCGTTACCGCGACTTATAGACCCTCGCCGCGCGCCAACTGTGTGGTTGACTTTATTTGTTAAATTAGAAACAAGATTTTTCAAGAAAGGTTACTGATCAGGCAACTGTCTGGTTAGTGATCTAAGATATTGAGAAAACACTTAATAGATAGTAAGTTCTCGTACTGTGTAGTAACTAACTAGTAAGTACTATTGGTATTGTGGTCTAATAAGTTTATAAGTCTGAATGACAGTACACTCCAGTTGAGTACACGCGTTAATTCCGAATTCTGACACGTGGCGCAGGTGGCGCTGTAGTCGCTGTGGTTTTTTTTCTTATAGATTTCTTCGCTTCGTGTTCTTGAGTTAATTTATTTGCAGAAAGATAAAATAAATAATGAAGTATAAGATATTGAGTTACACAACACTGGTTAGTTATTTTTATCATTACACTTGGTGTTTGGTGTTAAAAAACGGAGTATTCGTAATACGTACTCCGATTTTTTGATAGTTCTGTATATGTGGTGTATTTTTTGTGATTAATTATGTGGCGACGTCTTTATATTATT